AAAAGAACTTTTAAATTTTATGGTTCTATATTAAAGTTATGTCAAATGTATCAAAATATATCTTGTGGTCTTAAACATGTCACATGAAAAGTTAAAATTAAAGTGTTACAAAAAAATAAAAAGATCATTCTTTTAGAAATATACTAAAAAAATAACAAAGTCATCGTTTTTTAAACGGAGAGAGTGATGTGTAAAAAATTATACAAAAATAACCTAATATAACATTAGGTTGGTCTTAGTGAATGCGAATACCCGATACACATAGTAAAAATTGTGCACCATATATTTATGCAAGATTAAAGACATCGATACATCAACAAAGTATAACTTAACTAACAAAAAGAAAACACTCATCACATAATAACATGAATTCTTCAAGTCGTATTAAAAAAATTACTCACCTTTTTTTTATTCGATATGAAACTCTTCAACATGAAAATCAGTAATATACAATTAACTAAAAAAAAAGAAAAAACCCAACCAAACTAATCTTTTAACAGTGACTTATTTCTATTTGGAGTTCATAACACCCGTGTTTACATATTTTTAGTAAAAGATTTTTAATTTTGTAATTTAAAAATAAAAACCTTTATAAAATATTCTCAATTGCTCAAAATAATACTTTTCATAAATAAATTTATATTATTAATTAAATTTAATATGAATAGCGAAATAAAATATTCATTCCTGACAAAAGAAGTTGACCATGGTGCACTGAATTGGTTCTGAAAATCGGAGCGCACCTACCCGGAAGCGAGCGCGAGCGCGGTGCTTTAACAGTGGTGTCATGCACCGTCAAAACGCGTGGGAAATATTCTGCTGGCTTACAGCCTAAACTATTCCACCTTTCCCAAATTGACTATTCTCATTTTTTTTTTCTCCATTTACAAGTTACTTATAATCGATATTATATAAAAAGTAAAAATTCAACTCAATACCGAAAATTAGATATTTACTCTATGGAAAAAGAGACCACACTATCATAGGCTCAAAAAGTCTAATAAATTATCTAATTTCGTCTCTTTCATGGCCACACTAAATAAAATTTTATTATATATAAATATAAATTATAAAAGATATCTTAATAATTTAATTCTAAATTTTCATCAAAATTTGATACAAAATCTTTACATTTTCTTTCCACCTACTCCTATTTATCTATTTTTTAAAATTAATTCACATTGTGTTATTCTAATTATACCATAGGTCTACATATTATATAACACGTACCATCACTTTGACATCTTGTTTGGATGGTAATTATCTAGTGTATTGTATTATTAATTTAAATACAATATATATTATGATTGTTATTTAAATTTTATCGTATCTTATCATTTAAATTCATTATTATTTATTAATTTGGTGTGATTGTGGTGTTATTTTCTTCTTATTTAATATTTATTTGTTATTTAATAATTTTATTTAATCTTTCAGTATACATTCTCATAATATCTCTACCTTTACTATATTTATATCATAAATTTATTATTTAAATCATACAACGATAAATAGCAATATAATTTATTCAAACATTATATTTACAGAAAAAATATCATTCAGTACAATATATGATATTATGAAATAATACGTAACAACCACCTCATAAAATGTGATTTTAGATTGGTGCAAATTAATAATTACCGTTAAACGTTTCTACCATTCAATTACAAGGTTATTTTGGAGAATTGATCAAACCCGCAACTGACGAGTGCATTGTTCGCTTTACCTGTGGAGGGCTGGAGGCATGTCGTTGATCTCTCCACATCAGTGCTGAAAACGTGAAAAAAAATTACTATTTATTTTATTTATTTATTTTCCTCAAAAAGTTTCCTTATTAAAGACTCCTCACTCCCTCCTTTCTCACACATTACAGATCTTAGATCTGCAACTACTATATAAACGACCTCCCCGCCCTCTTCTCCTTCATAACACACATTTACAGATCCATCTTTTTCCTCTTTCATTTTCTCCTCAAATTCGTCTCTAAGGTATGAATTTTCTAATTGCTTTTTCATATTCTGTTCTTAATTTCAGCTGCACTCTATGCATTTACATGATTATGTGTATCATTTTTTTATGATCATCAGCTTGTTATATTTGTTCTATTTCATAGATCAGAAGTTGTGAATTTTTTAGTAGTATTTTCAACGTTAATTTGAGGGAAAATGATGAATTACACGATTTGGAGTTTTGTATCTCAAGCATGTATGATTCAGCTTGCTATATTTGTCGATTTCGGTGATCAGAAGGTGTGAATTTGGTGTATTTTTCAAGGGTAATATGAGGAGGAAAAGGTTGATTTACACAACTTGGTGTGTAACAACGCAATCATTTATGATTTTATAGATTCAAAAGTTTTAATATTGTGGAAACACACTGTCATCTTTCATGATTTTGATTAATTATGGAAGTGCTTAATTATACATAAATGAATTGTTAGATATTGATTAGATCTAGTTTTTGTTCATATCATTCAGAGATGGATCTGAAATATGACTTTTAGTGGATGATCTGGATGTCTTTGTATTAGATCTGGTCAAGATCACGGTTACTGAATATCATTTCCTCTTGCATTTGTTAGTTTCTGTATTAAATTAGTGACGTTGGCCTTATTTCCAGTTGTTTGAGAATTACATATCAAGTTGTTAAAATTGCATGTTAATGTCATCCTCTGAATGTAAAATTTCCTCTTCCGTTTTACTGTAATAGTTGTTCGACATGGTATGTTTTGAGTGTATTCTTGTTCAGGAAGTCTAATATTTTGTATGTATTTTCTTCTTGTTTACTCTGCAATGAGAAATGCATGAAACATTAAGTTTTTATGGTTAGGTGTTACATTTTATAGTTTAGAATGTAGATCTTGTGGTAAGTATTGGGCAGATAGAGTAATTGCGGTGATTACTCCAATCATTATTTTCATTTTGGATGTCATGATCGGACCCTAAGCATTTGCTTAAGGCGTTAGCTGTTATACACACGTTAAAGCTTTTAGTTTATCAGTTAATGCATATTCGTTGATATGTTGTTTGTTGTACATGATGATGGGTTTTTCCTTGACCTTGAGAAGTTTAGCCTCAGAAATATGTGAACTTTTGTCTGTTACAGAGTTAAAAAAGAAGAAAGAAAAATGGTGAAGATTTGCTGCATAGGAGCTGGATATGTTGGTGGCCCCACCATGGCAGTCATTGCACTCAAATGCCCCAAGATTGAAGTGGTCGTTGTTGATATCTCTGTACCTCGCATTACTGCCTGGAACAGTGACACACTTCCCATCTATGAGCCAGGCCTTGACGATGTGGTCAAGCAATGCCGAGGCAAGAATCTCTTCTTCAGCACAGATGTGGAGAAACATGTGCACGAGGCTGATATAGTTTTTGTTTCTGTCAACACTCCTACCAAGACTAGGGGTCTTGGAGCAGGCAAGGCTGCAGATCTTACCTACTGGGAGAGTGCAGCCCGTATGATTGCCGATGTCTCGAAATCTGACAAAATAGTTGTTGAGAAATCAACTGTTCCAGTAAAAACTGCTGAGGCAATTGAAAAGATTTTGACCCACAACAGCAAGGGAATTAACTTCCAGATCCTCTCAAACCCTGAATTTCTTGCAGAGGGTACTGCAATCGACGACCTCTTTAAACCTGACAGGGTTCTGATTGGAGGCCGGGAAACTCCAGGAGGCCAGAAGGCTATCCAAGCATTGAAGGATGTTTATGCTCATTGGGTCCCTGAAGCCAATATCATTACCACCAACTTGTGGTCCGCTGAGCTCTCAAAGTTGGCTGCCAATGCATTTTTGGCACAAAGAATCTCTTCTGTGAATGCCATGTCAGCTCTCTGTGAGGCTACAGGAGCAAACGTTTCACAGGTGGCATATGCTGTTGGTAAGGACTCGAGAATTGGTCCCAAGTTCCTCAACGCAAGTGTTGGTTTTGGTGGATCTTGCTTCCAGAAGGATATTCTGAACCTGGTTTACATTTGCGAGTGCAATGGTCTGCCTGAGGTTGCTGAATACTGGAAACAAGTTATCAAGATTAATGACTATCAGAAGAGTCGTTTTGTCAATCGTGTTGTTGCCTCTATGTTCAACACAGTGTCAAACAAGAAAGTTGCAATTCTAGGTTTTGCTTTCAAGAAGGACACTGGCGATACTCGAGAGACCCCTGCAATTGATGTATGCAAGGGACTAGTGGGGGATAATGCTAAATTGAGCATATACGATCCTCAGGTGCAGGAGGACCAAATCCAGAGGGACCTCTCCATGAAGAAGTTTGACTGGGATCATCCCCTTCACCTCCAACCAATGAGTCCCACATCCGTGAAACAACAAGTCAGTGTTACTATGGATGCCTACGGTGCAACAAAAGATGCCCATGCTGTCTGCATTCTCACAGAGTGGGATGAGTTCAAGACCCTTGATTTCCAGAAGATATATGATAACATGCAAAAACCCGCTTTTGTTTTTGATGGCAGGAATGTTGTGAATGCTGAAAAGCTAAGAGAGATTGGGTTTATCGTCTACTCAATTGGTAAGCCTCTCGATGCCTGGCTTAAGGACATGCCTGCTGTCGCTTAAGAGCCTTACATTGCTCGAGTGACTTGTTTTGGTCTTAAAGATATTAGTTATCAGACAATCATCAGCTGGGATTCTTTACTATTTTTTTTACCACTTCAATTTCTGTTTCCATTTTATCCATTGTAGTCATAAGACCACCATCGTCACTATCTTGAGTCACATGTAAGATGTTTTCTGTTTCTTTTGTATTGATGATACTTGTTTTTATCATTTACTTGTCATGTCGGAGGATTTATTTGTTCGATTATGAAGGGTATTTAAGTTTTGAACTAGTTTTTTTCTTCCTTCCGAATTTGGTATGAATTAGATGCTTTCGGAATCTTATGCAAGATTCAGTATTACAGAGTTGAAGTTGAAAGGGCATTCGTCTTGTAATCATTTATTTGCATGCGTCAGTGAGTAGTTGTTTTGATCTTGTGTCTGCTTCAAACAAAAGGTCGGTTGTTGGGCTGGTCTTTTCTTATACCTTTATGATAAAATCCAAAAAAGGTCTTTACATCACACGATTCTCAGTTGGCTAATTTTGGTGCTCTAAGCTAATATCCAATGACTCATTCGTTGTCAAATGGGCCTAAGTAATGGGTTTGATTGTTGAAGAATATGTCAAGTCATGTCATATAAACCAACTTTTTTGAGCCTGAAATTTGTTCCCCAACGTATATCAAGTTGATATTCCGGATCTTGAATATAAACTAAATGAGTTCAATCTTTTACTTCTTTAGTATAGATTGTCAAGTTACTCATTTTTGTTCAAACCACCCACCTCGAATGTACTGTGATTTCAGATGAACTAGATGCGACATGCGCCTCAGATTACAACTATGTTTCATCTGCTATCACAAACAGTAGGAGATGCACAAATACTCTGCCTTCACTACCTTAAAATCTTGGATTTGTTTCTCGTGGAAATATACAAGTACTCTTTCTTAAAAATCTTGAATACTACTATGGATATTAGTCAGAATCCTTGTTAAACTTCTTTAGGTTGTCACTTGTCAAGTTGACTTGTATAATTTCTCAATTTTCATCATCGATTATAAATTAGAGTTGACTCTACCCATGTGAGCTTTGGAAAGTTTAACCGATTTAAAAGAAATAAGTTTACGATCACATGGAATATGACATAGGGGGAGTATGATAATAAGTAAGACTAAGTTGCAATTGCAATACACAACACTATTACCATTAATTCTACTCCAAATTAATTGATAGATCGTCAATCGAACCTAACTAATAAAGGTGAAACTAGCCAACCAATTGATCTAATAATCAAAGTTACGATCTCAACCAATTCAAAGCACTCTAGACTTTGAATTTTTTTATTGTTCTATTTGCCCTTTATTTGTTTGATTTTAATAAAGGTGACAAATCTTTAATTGCATGTATGGCTTTCTCCTCAAGAATTAAAGAACTCTGTTTCTGCTCACTCTCCAATTGGTTAGTTTCTGAGTGTATATATACAACCCAAGAAACGAACTCCTAACAAACCCATCTTCTCCATTTTGTTAGAGTTCGAGTCGGAATACACAGTTCCCATTACTGATTTCTTAATTTTGCAAAACTTTTGAGCTTTCGTTTTAGTGCGCCATTATTCTTTCAGCATTTCCTACTGATTTTCCTCTTCAAGTAAGATTCTTTTTGCGAACCCCAAATGGAAGAACCACAAGGACACAAGTTTATATGCAAATTTTGTGACAAGAGTTGTGATAGTGGAAAGTCATTGGGAGGTCACATGAGGGGTCATTTAGCATTGATTTCAGCTGCAAAGAATCAGAAAGAAGAAGCTGATGGCAAAATGGGTTCTCAAGAAGAAGAAGAAGCTGCAAATACCCATGAAGATTTGAGCATTTCAGGGCAATCTGATGGAAGCATGAATCAAGAAAAGGAAAATAATATCAGCATTGGTGATGATGGTGACTCAGTTGGTTACAGTTTAAGAGAGAATCCAAGAAAATCTTGGAGGGTTTCTGATTTAAAGATTTGTTCTTTGGAAACAACAAACATCTGTAAAGAATGTGGCAAAGAATTCCCCTCCATGAAAGCTCTGGCAGGTCATTTGCGAACTCATTCGAAGAAAGGGATGGAAAAATGTCATATTTGTGAGAAATGTGGAAAAGGGTTCGTTTCAATGAGGGCCCTTTTTGGTCACATGAAAGTTCACTCGAAAAGATTAAGGGTTGATAATCAAGATTCTGAATCAAAACAGAGTTTGTCTGATTTCGATACTGTTTGCCCTATTCGGAAGAAGAGATCAAAGATAAAGTATAAGATGGACGCAAGTTCTTCTTTTTCCGGTTTGAATGAATCCTCTTCTGCAATTAGTGAAGTTGATGAAATGGAAGAAGCTGCTAGGTGTTTGATGATGCTGTCATCGGGTGTTACGGACTGGGATGAATACATTTCGATTTCAGAGAATTCTACAAATGAAAATGTCATTCTTGAAAGTGAATCATTACACTGTGCTAAGGGGATTTCCGCTGATGCTTTTACTGTAAAGCATTTGTCTCATACTGTCTTTTCTGATTCTGGCTGTGTTGATGGTTACGAAAAGAACTACGAAATTGCTGAGTTTTCAGACAGGTTGATGTTGATCAACACTGAGATCACAAAGGTGTGCTATTCTACTGAAATGCAGTTTGAGAATGATCCAAGCTCATCAGTTGTAATGCAGGATCTTGCTTTTCTGAATTCTTGTTCAGTCAAGAATGCAGGGCTGAACATGGGCAATTCTCAACTTGGAGAAATCAGGACAAGTCCTGATCCTATCAAAAGCAAGGTTCACAAATGCCCAATTTGCTCCAAAGTTTTCCCATCAGGCCAATCTTTGGGAGGTCACAAGAGGGCTCATTACACTGGATTCACTGAAAGCAAAACTAAAGAGACTATGGTGAAAAAATTGGATGATGTTGCTGATAATCATAAATCTTTTTTTGATCTGAATAATCCTGTTATTGCTATGGATGGAGAGGAAAAAGATGTTGAGCTCAAGCTTTGGTGGGTTGAAAGTGGTGACGCGTTGATGATGTCGAGTTGAGATAATTCATTCTCAGTTTCTGCTCTAGAGGTTTAAGAATCAGATAATTTTTTGATTCTTTTTCATGCTAGAGTTTCATCATTGTAAAAATAGTGTTTTCAGTCTTGGAATAGTTAAACATTTTCCTGCCAAAACCACAATGAGAAATGAGGCATACAAACTACAAACATTACTGGTAACTTTTTTGTTCATTGCATTGAATGTCTTAATCAGTTCAACTCTTGTGGATAATTTGTGCTATATGAAAGAAAGTAATTCTTGTTTATGTCTAGAGTTGATAAGAAACATGTTGAGATGATTATGTAGAAGTAGCATCTGGCCTTTGGTAATTTGCTTAATGACTTACCTATTTTCTTGCTGTTGTTTCTACTTTTTCATCCTTGGTATCACTCAAGCTTCTATCTAAAAAGCCCCTCTCGGTCTTTTCAAAATAGGAGTAAGATCTGTGTACACTTTATTCTAACACTAAACTCCATCCATGGAAACTGAAAATTACACTAGATTTATAATGGTTTTTGAAGTTTATATTGAAATGTACATGCATATTATTATTTCCCATAGATACGAACTCTACAAATCAAAACGATTTAAATATTCAATTTTCAGTTAACAGCAGACTAGAGATAAGAGCCAACTTGGTGCGCTCACTGTTCCTTCGCACGTGCTTGAGAAAAGAATATTTCATATCTATCGTTTGTTTGTCTTAATTTCAATTTTAATCCGTTAAAAAATACATGATGTAATTTACTTTTAATACGATATAATTAAATGATATTTATGTATCCTTGGTTGAAAATTATAAAAAAAAATTGTGTCAAATTAAAATCAAACAAAATAAATGTTAAAATTAGACTCAAGTTGGAAGAGTATGGTAAAAATAGATTGGATGAAGTTGTCAACAACGTCTCTCTAACATAATCAAAAAGTTGAGCCAAACAGGTCTTGAAAAAAGTTTTTCTCCAAAGATACCACCTTTCGGAAAATGGCATCTCACCATCACTACCACCCCTACCCTACGGCGGCCGCCACCACCCATACCCCACCCCCTACCACCACCATCTGTTACTGCTACTCTTGTCACCCCACCCCCTCATCATACCCTCCACCCCTAAATCCACACTCTACTCCCCCTTATACCCACTACCCCTCTCCACAGCCTCATTTCTGTACTTCCCATCTGGTCCCACCACCACCATCGCCGCCGCCTTCTCATATCCAATGCCAATGTGAAACCGTTCACCAAAATCATCATCATTTTCAAGAATTGAATCATCAAGCCAACAAAGTAACAGACCAACAAACCCAACGAATTGTTACATCTCTTCTCCGTCGGATCGCTGCCTTAGAATCTTCTCTCAGCCGGAGCTCCTCTACTTCTTCTGTTTCTTCTCGTTCTCGTCAAACGTTACGCGATGCTGCAGCGCGTACTATTCAGACCCATTTCAGAGCCTTCCTTGCTCGTAGATCGAGAACACTTCGACAGCTGAAGCAGTTGGCTTCCATCAAAACAACTCTCTATGTTCTCAAATCGTCAGTTTCTGGTAAAATACACATTGATATTCGAGCTGTTACTCGCAGAGCGACGGATTTACTCGTTAGACTTGATTGTATTGAGGTAATTGAACTCTAATTGCAATTATACGCTTGTTATAATAACCCTAGCGTATTGGGGAAATGTTGAAAAAGGGGTTCTTTTTTTTTTGTAGGGCGATGATCCGTTAATCAGAGATGGTAGAAGGTCAATAAGCAACGAACTGACTCGATTTATGAAGGTGATTAATGGGGTTTCCATATTCTCAAGTAGAGTAGTTAAGAATGTGAGAGGTGGAAACAAAGCTAGGGTCTTTTCCGGTGACCGTAAAGTAGAATTTGACACAAACTTTAACGGAGCCGTTGACAAATTCGTTGCATCAGTGAAGGAATCTGAAGATGAAGAGGAGGAGGAGGAAGATCAGCAAAGCCCTAGGTTCTCTGATAATAGAAAATCTGGCGTTTTACGAACTAGGGGTGGTGGTTTTGCCAGGAGTCATGGTGTTGTTAAACCCAATCAAAGGAAATCAGTGACCTTTGCAGATAATGGAGATGCTTACCAATCTTTCCATGGTACCATGGAGCCTGCTTCAATGGGGAATGTTAATGAGCAAGAAACTTTTGATACTGAGAAAGAGCTGATAAAAAACCTTAGCAAAAGAGTTGAAAAGCTTGGCATGGCATCCAAGGGGTGTGAAGGTGATGGGGAAGAAGATGGAGGGTATAGTGGAAGTAGTGATAATGAAATGGATCCAAATTACATTTCAAGAAAGGATGGGTATTATGAAAGGAATGTGAGAGATGAGAATGATAATGAGCACGAAAATGAGAGTTCCGTGTTCTCAGCACCAATGCCTGTGAAGATGGAAGCTAGAGCTGCTGATTATATCAACAGGAAAAAGGGTGTCAAAATAGTGGACAATTGAATAGGTTCCCAACAAGATCAAGATTTGAACTTTGCTCTCCTACAGGTCCTGTTGAGCATTAACAATTAGGTGGAAGTTAGGCTTCTGCCGTTATTTCGAATTGTTTGTAATTGTTAGTAATGATTGTCTAGATGAGTATTGTTAAGTTTGATAGGGAGAGTTCACCTGTTTTGAAGTACTAAATTTAGATGTTTTCTTCTGTCATTGTGGTTATGGATGGGAGATCTTTTGGGTGTAATGGACCCTTATTCAGTGGTCTTAAATGAATGATTGTTGAAGAGTTGAAAGATGTCTGTCACATTTTATTCAACATAAATTAACAGGTGGCTATTTCTTGGAGAGTGTAGTGTCATTTGAACTTGTGGAATAAATCATACTTCTCAGCAAATTTGTTGTCCCCAAAGCTAGAGTACATTTTATTTCCATCTCTTGTTAAAGAATTTATATGGAAGAAGCCCCAGATAGTCAAAAAAGTTAATATATATCTTGAAGTTTCTAGAAGGGAGTCAATCAAGAGATGATTGATCCAGAAGTAAACCAAATTTACTAATCGATGATCAATTTATATTAACTTTGGCTATAAATTTTCTGTGTAAGATCCTAATCTGTGCCATTTATGTTTAAAAAAGTTGGTTGAATTAATTTTCGATGAGCCAAAAATCCCCTTTTGGTATTAATAGGAGCATTATGTTTGTTTTGCAAATAGCCATCTAGTTTAACCAACAAGCTGACCTTCCATAACCACAGAGTTAAGACCAAAAACAAGAATAGAGGTGAATTGCTTTGCTTGTTGCGCAAATTTGGCTTATGTTGTAATTCATGAATGGCCCATCTTTGCCATTGTCCAAGAAATTGACGCACCTAAAACGAGTCGTTGAAACAACAGCTACAGCAGCAGAGCAATGCAAGTCTCTCTTAGAACACTGCGCCAAAATCAAATCTTTAAGAACCACCAAGGGAGTCCATGCTCATACCATTACACTCGGGCTCCTACAATCCATCAACTCGACTCATTTGCGTTCTCTCCTGACAGCAGCATATGCACTCTGTGGTCACACTTCCTATGCTCCAAAAATGTTCGATGAATTGCCTCAACGAACTTTGCTGTCATACAGGTCCATGATAAGAATGTACACTCAGAAGGGGTTCCCTAACATTGCCCTCAAACTCTTCGGGGAAATGCTGCGATCGGATAAACACAAGCCTGATAGGCATACATTTCCTTATGTGATTAGGGCGTGCAGTGATTTGTTCTTACTCCAGCAGGGTGTTGTTATTCATGGGTTGACTGTTCTAAGTGGGCATATGTGGGATACTTTTGTGGGAAATTCACTTTTGTCTATGTATTTGAGTTGTGGAGATAAAGAGGGTGCTAGGAGGGTCTTTGATGCAATGCAGGTAAGAACTGTTGTGACCTGGAACACTATGATCAGTGGGTATTGCCGAAATGATAGTCCGAAGGAGGCCCTAATGATTTACAGGAGAATGGAAGATGCTGGTGTTGACGCTGATTGTGCTACTGTGCTTTCCGTGTTGCCTGCGTGTGGGTGTCTAAAGGACTTTGAAATTGGCAGAGAGGTTCACTCACTGGTTGAACAAGTAGGTTTTTGGGACAATTTGTCAGTTCGGAATGCTGTCGTTGATATGTATGTCAAGTGTGGAAGAATGGATGAAGCAAGGTTGGTTTTTGAGAAGATGATCGATAGAGATGTGGTTACTTGGACTACAATGATCCACGGTTTCATTTCAGATGGTGACTTAAAAAATGCACTATGGTTTTCTCAGAGGATGCAGCTTGAAGGTGTAAGACCGAATGCGGTAACTCTAGCATCCCTTCTTGCTGCATGTGCCAGTTTGCCACATTTGAGGCTTGGTAAATGCCTGCATGGCTGGGCTATCAGGCAGGACCTTCAGGCTGATGTTAATGTAGAAACTGGCCTTATTGACATGTATGCTAAATGCAATTGTTTTAGACTAGGCTATCAGGTGTTTACAAAGACTAGCAAGAAGAGGACTGTCCCGTGGAATGCAATTTTGTCTGGGTGCCTTCATAATGAGCTTGCGAGAGAAGCCATAGAGCTTTTCAAATTCATGTTGTCAGAGGCTGTCAAACCTAATGATGCAACCCTGAAAAGTGTACTTCCTGCATTTGCCATTGAAGCTGATCTAAGGCAAGCGTTGAGCATGCACAGCTATCTTGTAAGATCTGGATTTGTTACAAGAACTGAGGTAGCTACTGCTTTAGTTGATATATACTCGAAATGTGGAAATTTAGATAATAGTCACAAGGTTTTTAGTGGGATACCCAAGAAAGAAAAGGACATAATCTTATGGAGTACGTTAATTGCTGGTTATGGGATGCATGGGCATGGCGAAACTTCTTTGTCATTGTTTAATGAGATGGTGCAATCTGGGGTCAAACCTAACGAAGTCACTTTCACCTCGGTTTTGCATGCTTGTGGACATGCTGGTTTGGTGGATGACGGTCTTTGTTTGTTCAATTTTATGCTTAGAAATCACTCTGGTAGTCTTAGAACAGATCATTATACCTGTATGGTTGATCTTCTTGGTCGAGCTGGCCGACTTGAGGAGGCATATGAACTTATTCAAACTATGACTTTTGAACCAAGTCATGCCATCTGGGGTGCACTACTTGGTGCCTGTGTGATACATGAAAATGTGGAACTGGGAGAATTGTCTGCAAGGTGGCTGTTTAAGCTGGAGCCGGAGAACACAGGAAACTATATACTGTTGGGAAAGATCTATTCTGCAGTTGGAAGATGGAAAGATGCAGAGAACGTGAGACTTTTGATGAATGAAGTCGGACTGATAAAGGCGCCAGCTCAAAGTGTCATTGGGTGACAAGTAGGTGATTTCTTTTACTTTCTTTGCAAACAGAGCTAAACGAGAGCTGCAGGGTGAGGGTAACATCTGAGAAATATGCAACAATAGGACCAAAGCTAGCCCTCTTAAGTCTCCGGTGGTGTTTATAATCTCCTCGAGTTTAGCTATTGTAATTATATTTCTGCAGTGCCTCCTCATACCAGCTCGATATATAATTGCAAGGTGGATTCATTTTATACTATCGGTCAATCACAACTGGTTCATGTGCTGAGATTGAAATCACCATTTAACTTCAAGAATTCACATAGCTTGAGTCACTATGGCAAGAGAAGGCTGAAAACTAATTGTGATGCCTGTTGGCGAGCAACAGGAAGTCCAAGCTTTTATATATTTATTTATCTATAAGATACGATAAGAGTAAGGTCTGTGTACACTCTAACCTGATAGCTGCATTGAAGCTTTAACTTATTAGATCAAGCATTACTTCTCCTGAAAAGAGGTTGGACTTAGATTAATCAATTCAAATTTTACTGTTTAAATTATATTCACTTTATGAATTTCTTTTTTTATTTTTCTTATTACATTTTTCTATATCTCTTTTTTCAGGACTTGAACTCACAAATTTAAAGTTGGAAGTAATATTTTTACTTTACTACTTGGTCTTATTCTGCATATAATGGATTATCTATTTTAATTCTTGTGATGTTTCAGTATGTTCTTGCCACAAATTCTTTGCAAATTTTAGGATTTGTACGGTTGTATGTGCTTTATGTGTCTTTTTATTAAAATCGAGTTCTTTAAAATATATAATTTAACAAGCTTAACCAACAAATATATAGCTCTGTTTGATTTGGTTTTTCATTAAAAAAATTTAAATCAATTATGTCAATTTATTGAATCTAAAAATCAACTTAAATCACATGAAGTAGAGTTTTTTTATATCGGCTTTAGACTGTTTTTTGGTTTGTTTTTTTTAATCTTTTGGTTTTTCTGTTTTCTTACAAAAGTGATTGAAAAAGAAATTAAATGTATTTTCACTTATAAGTGATAAGCTAAACTTTAAAAGTATTAAATGAATAGAAATGTTTTAAAAGATCGTAAAATTTACATGAGTATAAAATATTTTTATTGAAATAACAACTAGGGTTTTTCATGGTTATGGTTAACTAAATCGAACCACAATTCGAACCAAATCGTTAAGAAATCCGATATTTAGTTTGATTTAGTTGGGTTAGGTTTTGAATATTTAAAAAACAATATTATTTGGTTTGGTTTTACTAAAAATTAACCGCAAGAATAATCAAATCGAACCAAAAAGTTAAATATATAAATTTACAATTATTTATAAATAAATGTAAATATTTTGATAGATTTTAATTAATTTAAGTTTTTAATTTTACTATATTCTAAAGCCCAACAACACTAAACTTTAGCCCAATTATTAAAACCTTAAATCTAAATCCCTCAATATTCATTACTTTAAAGAACACACTTTGATAGGATGTTGATTATTTTAAAACTCAAGCTAAAGAAAATGAAAATGGATTAGTTTTGACTATGAAATATTGATTGTTTTTTTAAAAGTAATTTCTCAATATTTTAAAGTGTAATTTTATTGAAAAATCTATTGATAAGATGTTGAGATCTCACGAATATTGAACCAATTTTATGTTATTGAGTATGAATTTTTTTAGTTGCTAAAACTTGGTATATTGAATGAATCACTTTGCTTGTGTAATAGCTTATTTGTGAATTATTCATATACGGAGTGTTTTTTGCCTATTGAGACGCATATGTCCTCAAGAAATTTATTACTTTTGAATTGAAAAAAACAAAAAAAAAATTCTAACTAAATCAAACCGATGATTATTTTTTTTATCTAATTTGGTTTGGTATTAGAAATTTAAAAATTGATTTACGTTGGTTTGATTTTGATTTTGACTAATAATGATCCAAATTGAACCATGAATACCCCTAAAGTAACAATGTTCATTATGTTATATTTATAAAATTAAAGGATATAGTCAAATCGAATACAAAATAAAATATTTACAAAGTAAATCTGAAACACGATAGCGTTATAAGAAATTGTAACTTCCTGAACAGAAAATAATTTAAAATAATATATCTAAACATTGAAAACTATAAAGTAACTAAAAATATATTAACAAAAGTAGATTATAAAAACAATTTTATCTATAAATAAAATAAAACTATATATACATTGCTAAAAAGTTTCTTTTTTCTTAAAAGTGAAGAAGTTGAGAGTAAGGATGACAATATGAAAAATGAAACCTCATCAACAAAAAAGAAGGTCGGATTAGTCAATGAACTGAATAATTAAGATTTTTTAGCCAAATAACTCATATAGTAGAAGTTCAAGTTGGTCAACCAACTGAACTATTACTCCCTTCGTCCGTTTTTATATGTCACTTTTTTACTTTACACTTGTATTTAGAAATAATGTAGCTTTAGTCTGTTATCCTTATTTATTGTTTTCTTAAGTTAACTTTATAATAAATGATGAATACATTTTCAAAGTAAATAACTACTCTACCAAGGATATAATATGCAAAATATGGTAATTTATGCATAAATTTTATAAAATGAAAAATATTGTAATTTAACTATACATAAAAAGAAATAACATATAAAAAAATGTAAAAAATAATATTTTCCATCAAAAAACAATCAGCCAACTAAACTACTAATTTTTCCTACAAAATTTTTTCTGATTGAAATAGTACATAAAAGGTCCAATTTACCCCTGACGCTTAAATTGCATTATTGACATGAGCATTCGCACCGACACCAAAATTGAATCACTAAAAAGAAGTCATCATATATCAATGCTGATAGTGCCTTGCACGATTCATTCTCCTCCAAACGATAAAACCGTTGTTTTAATTTATTTGATTTATTTATAATTTTAATTTGTTTAAAATAGTTTCTTTCAAAATAATTATTGATTTTTAAATTTTAAAATGTTTATAATTTAAAACTACAATATCAAAAAATTATTTTAATAAATTTAACATATCTTTAAGTTAAAATTACAAAATTTTAAAAAATTTAAATGATATGTCAAGTCTAAATATGTTTAACAAATTAAAATAAAAGAACTATTTCCTCCGTCCACTTTTATTTGTCATATTGCATTTTTTTGAAAGTCAATTTGACTAATTTTCAAAGTTAAATAGATTATATTAATTTAATATTTTAAACAAAAAATTTCGATATTTAAAAACTATATAAAAAGTACTATAAATGCAATCTTTTGCATATTGATATGATGAAAAATATATCTTACAATATTAGTCAAATTTTTTATAACTTAACTCTAAAAATAAAAATTATCACAAATAATAATGAACAAAAAGAATAGTATACATGCTAATACAACAAGAAGAAAAATAGCAGTAGAAATCTCTTTTTAATTTTTTGCTTAATTAGAAAGTAAATAGGAGTGTAAAGTTTGTGAAAATAAAAGGAACACATATTGGCACATACTCGATATAGAATATGGTATGTTTGGTCCAATTGTTTTCTATTAGATTATTATCTCCAATTTAACACTAAATTTTATATTCAGTATAAAATTTAATATTTTAAGTTCAAGTCATATCAATTTTCACTCTAAATTTGGTGTTGTGAAATTTGACGTAATACTATTCATCACACAAATAACCTTTTTGAATATTATAATATTATTTTATTATATAAATTTTTAATTATATATTTTATACATGCATGTTTTAATTAAATCTCTTGTATATTTAATTGTTTTTATGTAATATTTTTGTAATATTAATTTTAGATATAAAATTTAGCTTTTTTTATAAATTAATTTTTTTATATATGACTTTTTAAAAAATTAAATTTATTTTAATTCTACTCCAAATTATATAAACTGCAATAGGACATTTATGGGAAGTACCGTAGTGATTTTGAAAGTTGAATATTTATATGGAATTTAAAATACTTTTTTCATTTATGCAATGCTTATTTAATTGTATTTCATTAATGATTTCACTTTTATTTGTATCATCCATCCTTATGTATAATGTATAAAATTTCTAGCAACTTATATTATTTAAAAATATACGATACAAAATAATTTTATATTAAACGATTACAAAATAAAATAATATGAGTTATATATGATGATTATTTTAGAAAGAATTTTTTTATGACATAAAAAATATAAATAAAATAAGAAATAATAATGAAGAAATAAAAAAAATGATATAAAATTTGATGCAGTGATTGGAGTTGATTACATCAAATTTAATATTAACACCAAATTTATGTAAAATTTAATGTTTGGATTGAAGATATCGTTAGCAGGTCCCGCATGTATCTATGCTAGTTGGATAAAAATAGCGGAGTTACGTGGATCACAGGTTTAGACAATTTTACTACCTTTTTTTTAAGTCTCTTTATTTATATTAAATTTTTTATTTATTTTATTTATATTAACTTATGAATTCCTAAATAAATTAATTTAGACTCCCCTAGTAAAAAAAAATATCTATTTATGCCAAATCAAATAATTTAACAATTTTAATAAATTAGACCTAATTGAAAATATATATTATTTTTAATGATAAAAGCTTATACGACAATATAATTTGTATAGTAGTCATTTGTTTGATAACGAGTGCATTCATGTTTTATTTTAAAAGAAATTCAAGATTTTTTTCCCCTAGTACGAATAGGTTTCTTCTAGTTTCCTTTACTTTCCCTTTACATCAAATTTCTTGTTTATATATTAGGAATTGAAATATACAAAAGAGTTTTGAAGAATTTATAGATGTATAAATATAAAATTTATATATATATATATATATATATATATATATATATATATATTTTATTTGTATGTTTATCAGCGAAATATTCCATATCAATTAGAAGTATAACTATCGAGCACACTAACAATAGTTATAAACCTTATTATGTCTGTTATTTATAAAATTAAATTTTCCCATTATTTATTAAAACATAACTCAATTTTT